AGTTCATTACACTAAGAACAATGAGATAAAGCCATTTGAAACCAGCTCCTAGTTCATAATGAGCTGAAGTCCGCTCTGTGGGGAGCAGATTTCAATGCGTTGTAATGTTAACACATCAACCTCGAAGCGCAGGTACTAAAAACGCTAACCTCTGGAACCCCCAACAGATGGTCAGGCCTGTCTGTCGAAATTCCCCCTTTACCACCCGCAGCAAGCCCAAATGAGTGCGTAGAAATCACGACTCCAATCTTTACCCTCAAATGTGCGCAAATTTCAGCTTCAAGACAGCTAAAATTTGTCTGGTTTTAAGTCCAGTAACTAAAGATTCTTGTCATTTTGCACATTTACAAATTCTTTATCTCTATTATTAGAAATCTATTAAGTTTTGCCCCAATTTTACTGCTTCCACTTCGAAGGCATTGCAGTGACACAATGAGGCGGCTCGTTCTTGATGCAGGAAAATTTCCCTTGGCTCCAAAGACACTGGTGAAGCCGTGTTAGGCTGTTTTCATTCACCAGAATACAGGGTGTAGTGGAGAGCGTAATTTTCACATGGCAATGCCACACAGTTCAAAGCAATTATCGCTAATCGCGTCACTCGTTGCAGCAGCAATTTGAGCCATGAGAAATTGTGGGGAAAATTGAGTGCAGGAAATTGATACGCTGTCATTTCTTCTCACGATGTGACTGCCCAATCGGTGTTTAATCACAGCACACAATTCCAGTGTTGGCCCAAACCCCTGTTGCAAAGCTTGCCATAACTCTCAACAAAATTTTGGCGGTGGTTTGAAATCGGTTTTTAGATCAAAGCAAGTAGGAATGCCATTCTGCAGTAGTGTCAAAAGCGAATTTGACAGTAGTGTCGGTGGCATTGTGTCCAGGCTACATGAAAAGTCACCTTTGATGAGATCAAACTGGCTTGTTCTTAATGCCAGCATAAGTGAATTTTTAATGCACCCGCTAGTACTGATCAGGTGTTTTCATCACGTGTCTGAGTATGCCTGTCTAGCAGCATTAATTCAAACCTTTCTGTGCAAACCCGTCCCTAGATGATAATCCCTGCTCAGGTGACTTGAAAATGGAGTAAACAAGAGATTACGGTTGCCACCCAAAACATCTATCCGCACGAGAACGTATCTTTTAAGCAATTAATGCATTACAGTCAAACGGAATTGTTTAAAGCTAGTCGAGTATACTCCAACAGTGGGTAATAGTAAGTTGCTAAAAGTCACCTATTTTACACACTAAGTGTTATATTTCCCATATTTTCTCGTGTGATGGTTCATAAAAGCATACTGCACACAATCAGAAATGATCCTTCTTTTAAATCTTTCACCCCATTGGTCATTTAAACAAAATTTTATCGCAGTGGTGTTTGGGTTTATTGCTAATGCAATAGTAGAAAATCCCATAGTAGCAAAACGCTGGTGATGATCGACGTGGATTATCAAAAGTCAGATGGGTACCGCGACGTTATCCTGGGGGCGTAAGAGTCTCAGATACCTGTAAGGTGGTAACAATCTTTTGACAACTATAGCTTAGGACATTTGCACCTTGATGACCCTTTAAACTAGGCTTCAAGCTTCATTCACCTAAACGCCTGACGCACGCAGCATCTCCCTCAAGTAGACACAATTGACGATATCAAATCAACAAAGAATTTATCTGTTTTGCTTATGTGAACAGTTTTGTCATAGGACTAAATGAGGCCGACAAGTGGGCCCTGGGTTTCACGAGGAACTCTAGACACAAACTGTACTTCCAAACACTCTAAGCAGGAACTTGGGAGAATGATTTGGAACACAGAAACGGCTACTCTAAGTGGACACAGGGGAATGGCGGTGACGACAGTGTTGCCCATTGTGGACAACCCGTCACTCCAGACGTGGATAATATCAACAAACCAAGTGACATGTAAACGTGACGAGACATCCAGCACATCGGGGTCAGTGTGGGTTTGAAACTGGTCTCCTCCTTACCTCGACTTCCTTGTCTAAACACCGCCAGACGTACATTTTAGAAACTTGTGTGTGTGATAAGAGGATCGTGTGCTTTGACAAGGGTCGAAAACACTGTAATGAAGATGGGTTTAACCAATGTCGGTGAATGTTCAAATATTAGGTGTATGACCAAAATCTTCTCTGAATTTCTAGCAAATCCTTTAAAATGAAAAATGGAGGCCAGCGAACCAAATGTTGGGAATATTTTCCACCCGTTTCTATGACCTTACGTCATCTTTCTGGCAACGTACGAATGCCGTCACAAAAGAAACTTGTGGGCTTCGTTGAAGCAATAAAGTCATTGACGAATTCACCCACGTCCTCCAGCGTTTTGAACTGTTCATCCGCTAAGGCGCTGACCGGAACAACTACGAGTCGGGTGAGGCCGCGCGTGGAAGAACTTCCCATCCCAAGTTCAAGAGTCGTGCAAGCAAGTCGAAGTCGAGCGTTGTCAAGCGGTAGCAGTGTGACTTGCCTGCTTCCTTGCCCAGTAAATGGACTTTTCTAACTAAGTTCTTTGCTCAGATTGTTCACTTGTCGGCTGTGGCGTTCTTCAGCCACAGTTCTTGATAAATTGCACCCTTCATGTCCCTTGTTCAATTGAATGTCCTGTTTCGACGTCTATGTTTAGGATTCTCATAAAAAATGAGATTTTCATTATCCGTGCTTTTGTCTTGTTGGAATTCGTATAAAATGCAATGCCGAATGTGCCGTAAACACTACTATTCTGAGAGGTCATGGAACTCATGTAGACTTGTCGTTCGGTGTTCTGAAACCTTGCGTCTGATCCCTTCAAAACCACATTAGATCGCGAAAATATTTCTGTGTCAAATACAATTTTAAGCTGGAGGAAAAACCTGGATAAATTATGTTATTCGCCTATTAGATCCAGAAGCAATCGACCAAGGAGTTCGACGGAGCTGGTATTTCCACCTGGACAATGCAAGACTACACTTTTGAATGGAAATGGACCAATCATGTTGCAACTTGGCTACGATGATTTAGTGAATGCACCATTCGCCCCTGACTTGGTGGATCTCGACGGATTTCTCGTAGTGATAGAAATTCGCATTATTTTAAGTCCCCTCGAACCCACGTGGATTCGTTGTTTTCAGCAAATTGCCAGTCATCCACAGGCTGAAAGTAAAATTCATTAACAACGTGGATGAAGGTCATCTAACATTTCTGGATCATACTAAAATGTAGAAATATATTTTGCCTCAAAGATACCAAAGACTGAATTGCGTTACTTAAGTTCTCAATATTCTCTTACAACACTCCTTTCTCGTCATATCAGCTACTTACGAGTCCAAGAGATGCCTTCTTTTGCTTGAATGTGCTGCAAGTATAGCCCAAGTCTTTCAGAATCCCTTTCCTTCACTCACACATTCGATTGCCGAGGCCTCGTAGCCTCAGAAACATTTCAAGCCTTCGATTGCACTGGCGGAGTTTATAGGCAATGTGGGGCACAACAATTAGACACCAAAGAGAGGGCGAAAAAAAAGCAACAACGTGGATATATCAACCTGCATAAAGGAACCAGCCCACGCGTTAGGCGGCGCCCACACTTCTAGCGCCCGCTTTTTCGCACAAACTCGGCGTTTCGACGACGCACATTGGCATGGCAGAAAAACTGGGCCTGGTGACGCAAGAAACCCCAAGTGGCCGCGCGCAGTGACGCATCAATGAAGGCCGCCAAGCTGGGGTTGTGGTGGCCTTGACAAGCGTCTCCCCTCCACCACCCCACCGTAGCCTCATTTAAATCCACCCGCGTCGAGTCGCACCGTATATTTTCGTGTCAGATTACTCAATAACCCCAATTGAAAGAGAGGACTCCGTTTAATAACCACTCAAGCACAATTGAAAGAGAGGACTCCGTTTAATAACCACTCAAGCACGGCAATTGCTAATTGGTAACAAAAACCTAACAGTTTGGCCCTCCTCTCCTTCTCTTTAATGCCCTGCCGCCTCTGTATTTCCAGGTTTAAATTAAACACGTTGCATTCCTCAGAAATCCCTTTTTCATCAACTTCTTTGCATTAATATAACTCGTGAAAGATTGCCAGCTTGAGTGTGATTCTTAGAACAACTTTACATTCTTTAGGTGTTCATTTATGTTGTAGTGTATGAATCGAGCTGTCATTGACTAATAATTCTAGATTTGTTCAAGAATTTGCAAAAACGGCGACAGCTCTAAGCACATATCCCTGGTTCCTTGTGGTTGTACTCAATTACTACTTTCATGGTGCAACCGCTTACAAGCACCACGTCGTGGTGCCTTACCCCTGAGAATTATGACTCAGCTTATGTTGATTGAAAGGTGATCATATCTGGCAAAACTTCTCCGTGTAATTCATCTCAAGAGGTTACCGGGATTGTGATTTGTCAATGTAAGTTATAGTATTTAATAGAGTGCGATTTCTGGCAACGAACAATGATGAATTACTGAATCCCTTCTAAGGAAAAGAAGGTAGTTATTTCTTCGTGGTTAAAATTTGCGAAACGTCTAGGTATAATTTAGATTGGCGTGGGTTATTATTATTATCTCGAAGATTTCTCCAAAAAATCAGCCCAGGAGAGTCGAGTGTTCTAAGATTTGATTTCACTAAATGTCTTACACTTTTGGCATTCATTGGAATTCCTCCATAAAAAAGCCATGCTCCATAGGTAGAAGGATTGGAAAGGTAAGTTCTACTATACGATAAGTCAAAAATCATGCCTATTCCTCACAATAAACTGTTAACTATCTCTCACACAGAGATAATTGATTAATTAGATTTATTTCAGAAGCCAGTTGCTATGTGACGCCGGTTTCAGTTATTTTTGAATGAAGGATATTTTTCGGAAAACCACAATATCCAGAAGAGCCCTCTTCCCGCGTGCATAAGAAGGATGCGACGGATTGCTAGGTTGAGGAAATAAGCAAAACAACCAGTAGATCCAAGAGAGCTGCTGGTGCAAACGATGAGACCCCTAAAATCGAAATGATCGCCAGTGAGCATGAGAATAGACGCAAGCGAAGGTGTTCTAACGCGCGATTGGAATGCAGTAAATGGAAGAAAAGCCATCCCACTTATTATCTCCCCAGACCGCTCTTTCAGTGGGCCCACAATTTACCTCTTACACCAGCAATCTCTCATGCAGTTTGTGTCGGCAGATGATGAATACGCTTCGTTTGTGTCTCTGGTAAGTGTGGCATTGACGTGAATTGACATGGTAATTTTGGATAAGCACGTGCCATTGCATCAAGTATGCAGAATGCAGTAGAGAAAATCCACTGTGTTATCGGTGACAGTGTGTGATCAGACAGGTCAGTGTTGACCATGATTCAACACCTGCCATTCGATTGGCTACTCGGGGTCGGGAGTGAGATCACAGCCAACAAGCTTTGTCCAGACCTAAAATCTGTTGAGTTACAAACCATGATGAAAGCTTGGGTTGATCTGACTGGAATATGCTCTGCGAAACTGCACAGAGATTTCTACCGCCGTCTTCATTCTGCTCTTTCAACCCCATAAATTCTTCACCCCTCGGCTTTCAATAGATTAATTGCATTGATCGCACGGCCATTATTCATATTGACTTACGTGTCCTTAATAGCGGTCTGTAATGAATCCTTGATGTTGTGGGGGAAACCAATTGGTCCACTCTCAACGTACCCGCAGACACCGCAAGTTATGGACTCCCAATAAAGCGAACTGGATAGCCAAATAGAAAGAGTAATCTGATCTTGACAGTTGGCCATCGGCTACTCGGGTTGTGTTTACCTTACGTGGTTGGAGAGAATGTCTTCTTCCACCTTTAAATCAATTCTCCTATCCAGGCTCCGGTGGACATTTTTAAAGTCCCCTATGTAGATAATTGTACTGAAGCCGTCTACATCGCATCTGAAATGACCCAGGTCTACAAGATTGCCCCAAGTCCTCTGAAACGCAAATTGCGACTTTTGAGTGAAATTCGACTACTTGCCCTCGTGAATCAATCGTTGCTAAAAAGTCCCTTATTTGGAGGAATTGTACACGTTTATACGGTTAATGAGAAGAAGGATTTGCAGATTGCGTCCATTGAATAGTTGAGTTCTTGGTGGCGTACGCAGAGAATCAGAAGGCCGTAAATTCTTACCGCTTACGAGCCCTTCACTTCAGCCATTTTCATTGATAATTATCCACATCTTCATTATTGCCTCCACACTACCATAACCAATATTGGAAAATAAGTGAAGCCAAATAGTGCACAAAAATTTTAACACCCTGAGTGAAGTCATTCGAGTAGGTCCAAAACCTGGAGGGATTCGTCCTCAATAGTGATTTTGGAATCAGTTATCACCAAAAGAATCATAAACAGAAAACGTGGTGATGATGGCGATGATGATGTGACGGCGTAAATCTATTGGCCTCTCAAACTAGACGAAGGTTTATGAGTCAGCACGTGGTCACAATGGGTTCTTTTTATGGCAGTAAAACTCCTGCCAACGGTGACTGACTGCAAACGTATGATAACGGTTAGGGCATAGGAAACCCATTGTAAATGCCTGGTAACTTGGGTTCTTAGTCTACGAGGCTTGGGCAGCAAAATCGGGTGATTTCTCCAGCCATAAAGTCACTTATTCATGCCACCGCAAATGGAGTTAATAAGGACGGGAGGACAAAGTCTGTATGGCATTTGCTGTTACGTAGATTTTGGGCCAGAAATGCTCTTGTCCTGAAAAATTCCACTCAAGTCGATTGTCTGTCTCATTGGCTAAATTATGTACCAATCCTGACACCTCAGTCAATGAGGTCATCTTAAGGTTCAAAAGTGTGTGTGTATGATTGCAGGTGCTTACCGTGATTGTAAAAAGATGAGGAGAAGGCGATTATGAGCAAAAGCACATCCCCTCCCCACAACCGGACTAATTATCCAGCAAGTTCGCGCGATGTCGGTAGGATCCCGTGTTCCCAATTCGGTGACACCAATCCTCCGCTATGGGAGCTCACGCCAGCGCCGGCTTTGATCTTCCCCGTCGAATCCTTCTTCCCATTATTGCGTCACTGAGTCACCACTGACCAGCCACCACGCCCTACCCACTGACAGACTCCATAAAACCACCAGCGATTATAAAATAATCCTTGGACATGATTGAGCTTCTTCGAATTTGGAATGCTTAAGCTGTCGGTAATGCAGTTTGGATAGTAATTCCATCACTTTGGATGAATTTCTTCGCCTTACCAGTTCAGTCATCCTATGCAGACGGACCCAAGCGTTTTACAAATGATAGCTGCAATGGGACTTAGATAATTGTGAACAGGACGGCTTACCTTTTCTCCCCTACTTATGAGTTGAAATTTGATTGAGATTTCGGCATTCATTTATTACTGATGGTCGCTTATTTGCATTATCAGGGTTTCCTACTAACTGACGAAAACAATTTGAGTCCAATAGAGGTCACACGACAGCTACAGTCGAAACCAACATGTGCTCCGTTTTGGAGCCATACTTGACGTCAATTCATTTAAGCATCCAATAAAAATTGTTTATTTACGAAATGCTGTGTTTCTAATTGCTCTTTTATCCTCTCAAAACATTGGATATCTGAATTCACTCTCACCGTTTCTGTACATACGGAGACATTTTCCCAGTAGGTAGTCACAGGGATTCAAACAAGCCACAAAATCTCAACTAATTTCCAAAATCTGGGCTCAATAAAAATCGACTGCTTGTGAGTGAGGCTAATTATTCAAGAACTGGACTCGAAGGTCCTTGTTACCATAAGTTATCCAATAGCCTGTCGGTTCCCCATAATCGTACTGCACAAATGTACAAGAAGCACTGACTGCATTCATCAGCGCAGATTTGTTTAAATTTAATTAACAAGGGGGGAATCTGGTTGAATTTATACATGCAGGTCAAGAGGTCTCTCAACATCTACGTGGTCTCCATTGTGCTGGAGATTAGACTCACGCGAACGCGTTCAAACACGCACCTGGAATGTTGTAGATGGAAGAAATGTCCCCCCACTTCTTATCTCCTCAGACTGCTCTTTCAATGGACTTACAATTTACCTCTTACACCAGGAATTTCTCATGCTGTTTGTGTCGGCAGATGATAAATACGCTTCGTTTGTGTTTCTGGTAAGTGTGGCATTGACGTGAATTAACAAAGTAATTTTGAATAAACACGTGCCACTGCATCAAGTATGCAGAATGCAGTGAAGAAAGTCCACTGTGTTATCGGTGACAGTGTGTGATCAGACAGGTCAGTGTTGACCATGATTCAGCAACTGCCATTCGATTGGCCACTCGGGGTCGGGAGTGAGATCACAGCCATCAAGCTTTGTCCAGACCTAAACTCTGCTAGGAGTTGGAATCCATGATGAAAGTTTGGGGTGACCTGTTTAGGAAATCATGAACGAAGTTACACAGAAAATTTTCCTACCTTTGTCATCACAATCACCATTCCATTCCGACTTCTTCGGCAGGAATTCGTCAGTCTGTTTTACACAAACATCGTTCGGGTGTATTTTTTTTCGTACCCCTACAACGTGACTCTGAGATTTAGGTCTCATTAGATGGGCCTGTCTTGATGTTTTGAAATTTATGATAAATGCATTCGCCTTATCTTTTCTGCCTCTATAAATCTGGTGAAAACGTGATCGTGATTTCAGCCCCCAATCATAAATGGTGATTGCTTATTCACACTTTCAGGGTTCCATGCTCTGACCAGGTATTTTACTAACTGACGAAAACAATTTGAGTCCAATAGAGGTCACACGACAACTGCAGTCGCAAGCTACATGTATTCCGTTTTGGAGTCATACATATCCAATGAAATTTATGCTTATTTACGATATTTTGTGTTTCTAATTGCTATCTTATCCTTTAGAAACTTTGAATATCTGGATTCACTTGCATTGCTACTGTACATACTGCGAAATGTTCCCAGTAGGTAATCACAAAGATTGAAACAAATCACAAATTATCGACCGATTTCCAAAATCTGGGCATTTTGTGAGACATGGATGCATTGAGGCTAATTCTTTGGACATGTGTTTTGCCCTTTCTACTGGGAGAACTGCCCTCAATTAAATGTTGCCGGGTCATGGGTCTTATCACCTCTCATGGCTTTGTTCGCTTCGTTCAAGTTGTTCTGGCCAAGGGGGACAACCTGTCTAGGTGAACAGGCTTTGCCAAGAACTGGAGAAGACTTCACAATCCCTTCACTGCTATTAGTGGCCAAGGCCTAAAATTGAGTCACGAACACAACCTTGGTTAAGGAAAGTGGCGGCATGAATTCAAGCGAATCACCACTAAAGTGAATTTTAAACCTGACTAATAAAATGGACTGCAGTGTGGGAGGGGCATGAGACGATCCTGAGTCGTGGGTTGGTTCTCCTGAAGCGAATTATGGAAAAAGTGCTCACCTACCTTGATAATTGGAATATCCAATAGGCAATGACCACTTCAAGGCCATGACAGCTCTACACGCTGCAGCAGATGTACTCTACCCCGAGAATCTGATGGCTTTGATTACGCAATGGCCTCCTATTGACATTCAGATCCCCATCGAAAAATGGGGCAAGTTACCAGCTTCTTAGGGGATGTTCCAGCTACTTATAGGCTTTTTCAAGATTAAATAGCTCTCTGTTTTAAAAATATGCTCTGGGGATCGTATAAACCGCGAATACGTGTAGCTGAGCCAATTTTGCAAGGTTGCGTCAGTGTCCCGTTTTCAGTTTACGCCCAAATCGTGCGAATTGACCGTGTGAGTAGAAACACCCTAGTTGACTGGGGTAAAATTTGTGGGTTCCAGTTTAACAGGGTCGTCTTGCTTAGAGGAAACCCAAAAAAACCCACAGTTCTTGCGGCAAACTTCGGATTTTTGCGCAAAGCCCTGTTAATCGAATCAATGTCGAGTGGCCCTATTACGGGCAAACAAACGCCATGAATGATAGTCGAAAATGAGGTAAATAGGCTGGTGGCACCCCACCGAAAGACAAGAGGGCGTCTTCGATTGACAATGCTTTCCACCGCCGTGGTTAACGTGTCGATCACAGAATTTCCGTATTCAATGAAAACCCCGGCTCGTGAAAACATGTCAAAATATCATCCTCTGTGGTGGATAAAGCCAGGAAGGTCTGTTGTGTGCTTTCATAATGGCGCAGCCTTGAGTCAACGTCTGTCAAGGTGACCGGGCAACCATGCAAGCCACACAGCTCGCCTGAACTAGGTGAATTTGCTCGAGCAACTGCCTTGGGCAACCTCCTTGAAATCTCAAGTGGTCACCCCCGATCTTCACTCGAATCCACGACTCGGAGGTCGAAGAAAGGTCTTCTAATTGGTCAAGTGTTTTGCTAAATCAATTGGACGAACAACCCCACCGAATCAGCATCACTCAACAGGCGACAGTATTCAAGTACCATTATAAGCCTCCGAGGTCTTCCAAAGCTAATTAGGAAATGTCGGGTTGACGTTTAAAAGCCTCCACCACTAAGAATGGTTGGAGCAGTTCGAGGTGGGGGGTGTGAAGCTATGTTGAAAGGGGGTTTCTGACAGTAACGTCCCCAGGAGACCCCAGGGGTAGGCTCTACACTTACTTCGGATGTGGGGCAATACTTTCCGCTAAACGTCCTACATCGTCCGTAAAAATACCGCCTTTGATACACCACAAAGTGTGCGGTCCCCCCGTGAGTCATTTAAAAAAACAGCAAATCGTGTCTCTTCGGTTACAAGCTGCTTAGTCTGATCATCAGAGTCTGTTCCGTCTACCTGTCCACCAGACTGGGAAAGCAGAGACTCCTTCAAATCCATTACGATGCATGGATGTACGGCATTTTAAGAAATTATCTACTCTGTTAATTACACACATCGTCCACTAAAAGAAATGGATTTTTGAATACCTCAGTAACAAAAACTGATGTAACTTTTGTATATTGCCGATCATTGCATCAGAGAATGGTAAGTCGGTATTTGAGTTTTTCATGTTTAGCTAAATTCCAGGAGGTTCAAGGATCATGACGAGGTGGTTAAAGTTAGAATGTCGCCATTCGTTTGGCTGTTGCAAGATGCTGGCTGGTGTTCAGGCATTGGGAATGCACTAATTGGCAGCATTAAATGACAGAAAATTGCACGATGAAATTACCAAGCACGTTTGTGCAAGCCAAGTGAGAGCGAGAGCGAGAGAGAGAGAGGCGTTCAGCCACGACATGCACCGACCGTGACCCAAGCACGAACCATTCAAGCAACGCAGACCTCTGCTCTCTTCTTAGTGTACTCGCCCTCTCATCTCGCGACGCCCCCTGGGCTTTCAGTACACATCAAAGCGAACAGGAGGAGAAGGAGGAGGTGGAGGAAGAAGAGGAGGCCTGTCAACCGGAACGGCGGCAGCGCCTGCTGGCCGAATCGCCCCTCCTTTTGGCAGGCTGCGGCGGCATCGGACAGGTGTGGCTGCCTTTCACTAGAGCGGGTGGCATTGTCTGGGCTTGCAACATCCCACTTTGAGGCAGGGGCGCAGACCACCACTGTCCCAACTTTGTGCCCACAGGAACACGTTTAAGAACACCTAGTGTAAGGTCAACACTTCTGAATAGCTACCAACAGACTTAACCACAAGTTCTCCTCGTTTTCGTGTTTGGTTTGGGGGCCAAGTTGTGCAAATACGAGTACTATGGTGGTGTTGTTGACGCCTTGTTGCCAACTGTGCCTGAAGCACCACTTTGACTTCCACGATCCAACCTCGTATAATAGCTCATCATTTAGTTAAAGTCACTGAAATTAAGGAAAGATCCACAAGCATATATGACACGTTGCCATCTACCAGCAGATCTGGAAAGCAGTGGGATAATGCACATTTCATCCCCGTCAACTCATGGCAATCAAATCCAGTGAGTTGCGTCACCATGCAGCTTTTCTTTGTAGTATGAAGACGAACAATACATCCGACTTGACAGAAGAATTAGGAGACTTCTCTTTACAAATACCGTGTCACTAGATACTTACAACAAACTTGCAACCGAATCTGATTCTCTACATGACAACAAAAGGCCAGTTAATCAGTGTCCAAGGTCGCAGGAGGGGAAATGTAAATAAAGCGGACGGATTGATGTTATCGATTCCCCCGATAATTGGGACAATGAGAAGTGAGCACTGATCAGACTGCCTGATTGGTCAATAGCCCCTTGAAGGTGAGCGAGTCAATGCCAACAATCAAACCCTAAACTTGAACGAGTAGCAGCAATTAAGACTGCTGCTAGCTGCTGCAAACCTAGTATTGTGGCCTTCTAGTTTGCACTAATTTTTGCGTAAATTCAAAAAAATGACACCGAAAACGTGAAACTGCCTGTTGGAGAGCCACTATGTCATTCGTAGTGGATTATTACTTTAGTTACTGCCACAACATGTGTGTTTCACAGTTAAAATAAAGTCTTATATTCCCCTTTAAAACATACTACATCGGGTTCGTCCTTAACATTTGGCAGTACAAAACGTCAACACCCAACCCCGAGTTACACTACTCAAGTATGGACTACGGTTTGGGAGGATACTGTTTGAGCAGATGAATTTGTTTATTTCGCTAGTTATTGTCCTTTGGCATTTCCGCAATTTTCGTCTTCCACGACTAAAATAAAGGTGTGATGGACGCTACTTAGGGCTTTATGGCTCTCCCCATAGTAACCCAGCAAGGCACCTCCCTTTTCACTTAAAGTTTGTAAAACTGTCTCCTTGTTTGCCGTTTTAACCCCAAAAAACCATTACGCCAGTGGAAGTGGGACCGTTGAAGTCGCCTATTCGAAGGAGAATAATCTGGTTCTGAGGGCTCTGAGAATAGCCGTATTGCATCCTCAGGTTTCTATAGTTCGTTTAAATACATGGGCTATGAAATTTTCTAGGTTGACCGAGAGGAAAACCTAGTCATGCAGGAGATTCAAAAAATTGCATCATGTGACAGTTATTCTATCGAAGTACCATTTAAAGGCAATGTAAATGAACAAAAAATCTTACAATTGTTTCCGCCATGTACCAATGTGTTCTGGGTCGCGCACACCTACGCACGCACCCGTATCTTACCGCTGTTGTCATTCGTTGGTTGCAGCACACTCGGCCCTCCTTAGCACGCAGCCAATGGGTGTCACGCGCTGCTGACACACATCAGGAGGTCAAACTGTTCTGCACACACCTGCAGCCGTCAGCCGCACACCCCTACTCCGTGTGCGCAAGTCAGCGCAGGCCGCTCATTGGCTGCCTGAGCGTGACACGGTTACAGCACGCTGGCACGTCCGCACACATGTGAGGATGTACGCACGGGCGCACGCACAAGCTTGCGACGTCAAACTGCTGTCAGTCAGTCATTTGGTTAATTTCCTCGCGCGCACGCGTGCATATCTACGGTGTTCCCTGTGACTTTTTGAACCTCTCACCTTTTGCTCGTGCCGCTGGCCGCAGCTAGAGTGGGTGTGGCTGAAACCCGTGCACCTAAATGGGCCTCCTTCCGAAATTCGACGCGCAGGAGGTACTTTCTCTTCATTGTCCCCTCTGCTCATTCCACAGTCACTGGACAGAGAAGCTCGAAATGCACTTCCTGAAGACCCACCTGGGCAGATCTGCGGAGTTTAACCTCTTCCAGTGCTCCATGTGCAAGAAGATCGCCTCCTCGAAGGCTTTTGTCCTCGAACACCTCGAACTGCAGCATCGATCTTACAAGGAAGAAACACCCACTAGTCCTTCGTCAGATAGCGATGCATTAATGAGGCTGGAGGACAGCGAAGCAGTTCAACGACCCGGCTCGACCCCTGGAACCCGGCGGAATACCCTCTGCGGTTCTGTGGTGCCGATTTTTTCGGGCTGTTTGCGTGGCGGTGAGATTCAAGACGGTGCCTTCCACTACCAGTGTCTCTTCTGCGAGTTTTCAACTAGCATCAGGGAAGTTCTGGCCACCCACTACGTCCATCATGGAATAAAAAATCTCCAGTGCTCAGAAAAGCCCACCATGGCGACGACGTCGACGACGATGACGACGCTGGAAAAGGACAGCCCTACGGAAGACTCAGTGCTTGTGAGTCTTTTGCATTTTCTCATTAGGTGCATGCATAATTCACTAATGACTCGAGTCCACTGACAACCTATTCGTTGCTCCGGAAGCCCTCGCAGCGTCATCTCGTTACGACTGTCCGTTTTTTATATAAGTACAGCCGAATGAAGAGGCCAATTGCAGAAACATTTAGTTGCCAATCAAATGAGTGATATCCCGAAGATTATAGATACTAAAATTTTGCTGGATTGTATTGGACCTCCGAGTAATCACTGGTAGCAGAATAGGGGGTGAAAGCCCAGATGAGTTGACAGTTGTGAGGCGCTATTTCAGTCCACTTATTAACTGGTTGAGTGAGTCCTACTTAATGGTGCTTCAGTGGGAGTAATCTCCAATCTAATTAATCCAGCTGTGAGTTGTCTTGGCTGTCTATTCAGAGGCATTTTTGACTAAAATTTGGCAAGAAAGCCACTTCCACTTCAAAAATTGGAATGCGTGGCTAATCCGATAACGCCTGGGGACTTATTATCATCATCCTCGGTGTCGTGATTTGATTATGTGGTGCTACTTTCGTTAGTCATCTTATTCCGACTTCTCAAAAAGTCGTACAAAACATGAAACTGGAACGGTTAAATCTATTCTAGAAAATGACAGCTTATGACATTAGAAGCCCTTTCGTTTCACAACGCTAATTATTTCCGATCATAAAGGATAAATCAAAATTGTCGATTTCTCGGTTTTTCCCTGTAATTTGTGATATTCTTTCTGGATGGATGATGGGACCTTCTGGGGCCTTTCTCTTTGGTTATCACTTTCAACTGCTTTTGTGCAAATTTTCTTAACCAGCAGTCGCTTTGACTATCCCACATTTCAGGCTGAACTGCCTCAGAGTAGAGTAGGGTAGATTTGGAATTAGCTCGCTTTTGGTTCTCGCTAATTCGGTTCTCTGACATACTGAAGCCGCTTAGAACATTGCGATATCTGATTCCACGGGCATCAGAGTAAAAGGTACCATAGCAGCCCACGCAAAAACCGCTGCGTTCTCGGACAAGGTATAGCTTTGCCCACCCGTGTTGCACCAGCAACCTGTCTCCTTTAATTATACTTTAATCCCGACAACTTGCGCGTGGGCTGTGTTGTCGGAAAGGCTCTTTTGTGTGGCTTCTGCTCCCATTGTGTGTGTTCGAGGTGTCAATGCATCAACCCGCTGCATTGAGCATTTAGGGAGAAAGTGGAGGTAGATGTTTCAACGGGAAGTTAATGCATGGCGCTTCGAGCAGTGGGTGAAAATTGCAGTGCCACTCTGCACGCATGCACACACACGCACATGTCCATCTAGATGAATGACCAATCAATCTCCTTCTGTCTGACGTGTGTACTGAGCCATGAAGGGAACTTCGAGTTGAGCAGATGGCATGATTTAATCCGATTGATGTGATTGGAATATTTAATAACGTCATCGCTGTTTGTAGTCTCCCAAAATACCATAACTACCAAGCATGAAGCCGCTTTTTTTACTTGTTACACCAGTTAAGCGAGAGTCAGTTAGTTGTTATTATTGGTGCCCTTCAGTTTGCCTCATGACCTTCAGAATTAGAGCAAAATCGTTTCATTTCTGACTGACCTCCTCGTTCCAATCCTTAAATCCAATGCCTAGAACTTTCGCTTGTATACCCCCTTTAAAATAGAGAATTGTATGATTTAATTATTGTTATATACTTCATTCATCCTAAAGCTCGAACTGAGTTACCTAATTAATATGCAAACGTGGTATTTTAGGGCTGTGGACTTGGTTTACTTCTTAAAATCCAATCTAACAAGACTGACCATACAAAAACACCCAATTTTATCAAACTAACATTTCAGTAAGTAGGTTACACAGGAGCGATGTGCTTGCCCAGCTAGTTCTGAAGGGTGTTTTAGTACTGCTTGTCAATCAGAGCCACTGCTCGTGACCCCCCATGTATGCTTGTCCAATTAAAAGAATGGTAGTAGTCCGCTTGATTGCCTGACTTCATGCTAGAGGTGAGGAAGGGTGACTGGGAATGTGGAACTAGCGAGCACTCAGAGGGGGGCAATAGCGTGGTATTAATGAAGATAACTGACGGTGGGTGTCGCTAATAGAGAATTCAAGCTTCCAGTTGCAGTGTCCTTACGTGCTCTGGACCTCACGCAGGCAAGCAAGTGAGAGTGTCCTGCGTTTTTTTGGAATTCATGGCATGCGTTTTTATAATGCATTCCTGATAGCACCTGGAACACGCAAGGTTTTCTCAAATTGCAAATTGGCAACATCCGTTGATGCTATAACTGTACGTAGATTTCTTTCCTGGTTCAGGGTTTGTTCCATCAATCTTTGACCTTACGTTTTCAAAGTGTCTATCTAGAAGATCTTGCTGATGTGTGTTCGACACTTTTGCGACAGAAGTGGCTAGTTTACCTCAACTATGTTGTATCTTTAATGAATTTCAATCAAATCCAAGCCATTAATTTATCTGAAACTAGTGTTCCCCTTCTAACATCATTCCCACTTAGTGAAGTCTTCCGATCAACTTAAAAATGATTTCTGCATCAGTGAGTGCTCCAAGTCGCTCCATGGACAATAATTTTGGGCTTGATATTGTCGGAAATTTTTGAAGATTTGATTTTTAAAACCATCATGACTACTCAAACTTGATGACCCTTGGCTAAAGTGCAGGATGCTGGGCATCTGACTTTATGCTCACACGTACGTCATGTCAACAGCACTAGAATGGTGCAGGATTACATGCAAAAATTATGATTCTCAATGAAATCAACATGCGGTGTCAGTAATGATTGCTTATAGGTGAGTGCATGATGTGAAGTTCGCCCATTTTGTGCAAACCGATTGCGGAAATTGATGTTTTTATGGAAATTTGTCAAAAAAGATTTCTTTGTTTCCAATCTATGGCCAATTTTCAGAAGAGTGGAACACGACATAACTTACTACCGCTCAAATCTACTGATCTCACATGTGAACAACACCTTAAAGGGAACCATTATTGCTGATCGTTTCGTAAGTGCTCTGGCTTCGAGTCCGCTCTGAATTTTTATGGAAAGTTAACTGCTTGGAACAGTCGTTCATTTTGGATGTACACGTTCTCATGATTCACGTTCTTGTGAAGATTCACTACAAGTAAGATTACAACTGGCCTTTGATACGAACAAACTTGTGAAGACAGAATTTGGCGTGAAACGGTAGCAGATGTGGACTACTACCTCGAATCTGTTAGCGTCCCTGCAAGTCACCATAGCTACAATTAGGCAAATTTGCCACTACCAGTCTCCCAAACCTGTTCACCTTCCCGCTGAGATAAATTATTACTCCCTTCTCTATTAGATCTGATTCACACCTACTGGTATAGAATCCCAACAGACCTGGCGCGGTGATCTGGTGCGTGCTTATCTGCCAAATCCTGAAACACTGACTGTTTGTTGTCGATGGCACTTCTGCTTTTTAAACCATGACGCATGAACGATGTTTGACATCTGCCTATGGTGGGAAATTCTGGGTACGGTTACCACTCCTGACAAAACAGCTATCATTCGCAGCGAAAATGTGCTCACTAATTTCATTAAATCAACAAGCCACCTGGTGTCAATAGCTGAAAAACTTTCAACAGGCTAGTTCAACTCCAAATAAACTCACTTCTGCCAACATGGACACCAGCTGGCTGATTATCGCACTTGGGTACAACAAGTACCAATGCGGGTGGCATGACCTGCTTTCAACTCCAACTTGGGAGCCATGTGTAGGGGGAATTATTCACCTGCCACGTCAATCGCGCAGTGGGCGGTCGTAGCTCGAGTTATCAGTCCCTTCTCACTGGACAGTCGAGCGCTACACTGTACCCAATCGCTTAAATCAACACACTGTCACATCATTTGTTCTCATGGAGGGATGTGAGAAGTTCCCATGCAACCACACAAGCACAAGCCTGTCTTGCGGACGCGCTATCATGTCACCGAATGTCACCTTCTGCGTGGGCAATTGTGCGTGCGTGCGTGCGTGTGTGCGTGCGTAATCGGATCCTGATTTGATCTTCCTCGCTGCAACGAATATGTATACACAAACACACACACACTGTGAGAGAGCAAGAGAATCAGAATTGGTACAACGCCGCCACCATCGCTGGCCCGCGATGTTTTTCCAGGTACACAGGGCATCTCGTGTGTCACGCTCTCCCTGTGTGCGTGCGTGCGTCCCGCACGTGCACACAGGTGTAACGATCTCAGGGCTGGGGGGCGCGGAGGGGGGGGGGGGGGGCAGCAGGCCATCCCCCACTCCCAGCGGGCACGCACTGTTTGTTTTGCATTGCAATGTCATCTGCCGTGGACGCAGCCGCACACACATGCGGTGAATGTGTGTGTGCGTGCGTGCCACTGTTACGTTTCGCGTTCTCGTAGTTGACTCACGCATAGCGCCAGAGGAATGCGAAACAGACGTGGTTGCATGCCTACATCACGTAGTCAGGTCCTCCTGGACCAGTTATCCACTAGATGCAGTGCAATTTACTGAGCAAGTCGCACACACCCAAACACACTTGGACTAATTCCTTCGTCTATCAGAGATTGGCGTGGTGTGCTTACGACGAAGTCTCATCAGACAACATCTGATCAAGGACTTAGCACAGGAACTTGGGGAGAGAACTGACTTATTGATTTGTCTGGGATTTCCGGTTTACCTCCTGATCCACTAGAATGAGAGTTTTCGCCAGATTCTTCCAGCAATGCAAGCAGAAACGCCAAAAGCTTAGTAAAGTCACCGCACTTAACTGGACCAACTGTCCCTGACTCGGTTCCGTATTTGATTACGAGCATTCTTTATCAGTCGATGCGTTGAAAGGGCATTGTTTTACCCTAGATATATGTTTTGCAGTAGCTTGTGTTAAATTTTGGTTGCTCAACTGAAAATCACTCGTTTGTGTGCGCCTGCATGTGTTTTTTTGTGTGGATGAGTGGGTGGAAGAATTGGAAGCTACGTACTGACACAGCTTACAAGGCTTGAATAACAGCGAGCACCACAAGAGAATACAACACCTGTCATTGGCTGTCAGACAGCCAGTCGGAATGCCGGAAAGGGTGATGACAGCGCTGAGTGCCTATACACTCGCATTGTGAATTTCCGTGTCAGTCAAATTTGAGCACTCCAATGTGTACGTACTTTTTTCTTGAGTTTGGGTTACTGACACGTGGACGAGCAAGTAAATGCAACTCCTTGTGACAAGCACCAACATGTCAAGGTCCTACTGGAAAAGCCAAGCACGTCGTAGAAGTGGTAGCAGTAAATTTTGTTGAAACCCAGAGCAGTGCAGCCTTTACACGATCTGTTCATATTGAAACAGTCGCGTTATCGACGTAATACCACATGATTATCATGCATCGAGTAAGAAGTGTATAGTGAGAGACGGCTGAAAATTTGGGTCGACGAATCATTCCTCCAACTTCCATTCAAGGTTTAGTAATGCCACGGAGAACCGCTGAAGTGGTAGATCAAACTGTCGATAGACTGGACCTAGTGCCATGTCATCTGTGCAGCTGTCTTCCTATCCCAAAAAGTTCGTTTTTCATACCGAAGTTGTCGTTGCTCTAGACGAAACATCGGGGAAGCCTTCCAGGAGATGGAAAGGAAACAATACCGCCACCTGCTTGGTTTGGAAAACATTTCTGCTTCCAGATCTTCGCTTTAGGCTTTTCCGTGTCAAGTGGTTGCTATACCTGGGTGTGGGGTTTGCCCAGGTGAAGACATTTTCGGAGGGTTTATCGGCGTCAGTCAACCTGAATTCGCACTAGTCGGTGTTATCAATACCGGTTAAGATGGCGGACCAGTCACTAGTTGTCGCCGCAGCTAACTCAAACTAGCCCAAGATCCGCCTGACAAGCGTCACACGCACACGTCTTGCGTCGGCGTTTGGTCGCGCATGTCATAACCAGTGTTCGATCTCTCCCAGCGTGGTTGTCTTCGCGCCATTTGGGGCTGGCGGGCGGGCGGGCGGACGGGCGCGTGCGCACGCGCGCAAGCGTCTGATGTTGGCTTTGAGCCAGCCGCTGCCACTGCCTCTGCTGCCGCCGCCACCACCATCGCCATCATTGTGGCAGAGCGCGCGTGTGCGTGGCGTTAGCATCCTCCGTGCTAGTCAATTACGCCGCGCCTGATGACAAGCCTGACAGACGACGCACGCGTGCGCCTCGCCGTGTACTCAAGAGCGCGTTCACGCGTGCTCGTGCACCGGTCGAGTCGACCATCAAATTGACAAGGCCGCGAGGAAGGCGCATGTTTAGCGATGGCTGCGCATCCATCGGGCTATAAGCGTGGGTAATTTCACTGATTTGCTTGACTTGTCAACTGGATGCAGGCCTTTGAGCTCGAACATGTCACTAACCCCTTGCTCCTTCGTATGGACCCACTTTGTCCAAACGCCATTACGTTTGACTGCACTTGAAGATTCCTGTACAGGGAAGATTCATGCGTGGGAGGCGCAAATTACGTTCAGGAGTTGTAACACCAACTCCTCACATCAGAAGCCTATTTTGTTGTGACAGTAACGAGAAGAAGTCGTGTTTAGGTCACATTCACATGACACCATTTCTTCTAGCTTGACGAGTAGGCGTTGCCATCACGTCGATGTGTCTGCGAGGAGTCTGTGTGAGAAAAAAGAGAAAGAAATCGGTGACGAATGACAAACACACGCGCACACACATTCACAGCGGGAGAGAGAGAGAAAGAGGGCAAGGCTTAAAAGGCTTTCGCCTCATTCCTTGGTTCTGCCGCTAGCCCTGGCTCACGCACGGCCATGTTAACGCGCGTGCACGCACGAGTGACAAGCGACACGTGCGCACTGCCAGTGTGCGGTCGTGCGGCCGATGTAATTATGAAAGCCTAACGGCGTCGTCGCCGCCGCCATCCTTAGGGGTGGGGGAGGTGGATGAGGGCTGCGAGTAGTAATCGATAATGACAGCTGTTTGCATTTGCGCTTGCTCTCTCCAGTCCAGATTTCACCACTTTTTTGTGTGGATGGTGTGCCCCCCTTGTCACATCTTGACGACAAGATTGTAAAGCTGACTAACGGAGTCCTCGATCCCACTAAATTAGCGGAATCTTTCGTGTGCATAGAGATCCAGTTGGCACGAGGTTCGAGGCTTGCAAATGACAGCCCTGGCAACTTACTGATCCCCTCCACGCACAATGCAATCCTCGACTGGCCGAGAATTAAAACCAGCGATGTCATTTTCCGGAAAGATTAGCCTGGACGGTATTATGTTACATCTCTCACGATGTTCTGCCGATAGAATACATCATTCCTGTGGGTAATCGGCAGGTGCAAACACGGGCCTGCCTGCACCTGCAAATAAGTACAGTTTGGATAACTTCCTGCAGGTATTTGGGCCTTACACACAGGGCCAAATTTCGTTTCTGACTGTTTGGTTACCGAGATGCCGTGATTGCGGCTCCAATGAGACAGTTACCGCAACCCGCGCATGGCATTCAAATACGCTGTTTCGTGAAATTTACTGTCATGACCTCTGGATGCAGTCGTTTCAACTTACCGCTTAAACGGTGGATGACCTTAAATGCTCAATCACAGCGAGGAGCAATAAAAAAACGTGAGATCGACTCATTTGACTAAGCAAAATGTTTGCCTGAATTGATGGACTGGCTTTGAGTATCTGATTTTCTCAAGTGCCCTCCTCCTTGAATGTCCGGTAACTAGTAAAACAAACTTAATAAACTGAAGCACCTTCCAGGTATCGATTTTTCCATGAGTAATCGAGTGTCTTAAATGCATTACCGTGGCAGCCATATGTTTACTTAAATTTTATCGAGTTGGTCTAAGTGAATGCTATCTTCCGACACAGTGAGTACACAGGCGAACTCGTCACTATGATTGTTTCCTCTAAAAAGCCATTTTGAACGATTGCCATTCAGTAATTTGTGGTTTTAACCTTCGTCTGGGTTGCCATAACACCCGATGTTCTGGTCAACTTGCACCCTGATCCATCAAAGCCTGTTTCCACGGAAGAACAGGCTATCACCAATGCAGTCGTCTTGTGACGCGAGACGTCGTCTAGGCGTACGAGTGGCTTCGTGGTTATCCCAAAAGCGGATCACAGAGCGTGTCCGGTTGTTCGTAAACCGCCAAATTGATTGACATGTATTTGTCACCATGGGCACTCCGTGTCGGTTTCATCGCTGGGAACGCATGTCAACAGTTTTATTGATAGGCCACTTATTCGGTCGTACAAAGCCTTCCAGACACAATATTGTCTGTCCGGGGTTTAGGTCGAATTAATAAACTGCAGCATGTTATGACAAACATCCTATGTTCCTATTTCTGATCGTTTATTGATACCTAATTTGAACTCCAAGGCCTTGGAATAATCGATAACTTTGCGGCACGCGTATGTGGATAACATGCTAATAAGCTTAAAGGTTTCATGGCTAAGGTTCAAATTGCGTTTGCCTCTCAATTTCGACAAATCCTCTTTTTCAAATAATTACCGGAAGCCAAAAGTTGCTCTTATCGTTGCTCGAGCGAAATTTTAAAATGTCTTCGTGGAAAGTCGCGATTCAGACTCCTTAAAAGTACAGACCTTTCCCAAGTTCACTTGCATTCAAGCAACCATGCACAAGAAGCTTTAAACGGCGCCAGCTACAGTGGTGTTTTTTCGAACCATCGTGGAAACACAGCCGATCGTCAGTTGAAGTAATTTGCACTTTGTAGCAAGTCGCTTATAACTGGTGCGAATCGGCTCTGTGCTAATGTGAGTTAATACATATTATAAAGCTCCAAGATACTCCGAAAACGATTGTCGTACTTGAAAGGAAAGACTGTGGGTGATTTTAGAATTCCTGCTGATTTATGATTAGTTTTGACTCGTCCAAGAGTGCCCTGTTATACGTCAAGAACCACCGATTTGTCTAAAGGGATTGCACTCCCACCCAACTCCAGCAGTCTTGATACATCTGGTGACATTTGAGTAGAACTGTCAGTTTATCTTTCCGAATCCCGTACTGTGGCACAAGCTGTTGTCCAGCTGTTTAAGATTCCCAGATCGGTCCTCTAAAATGCTTACTTGTGTAGAGGGAGCGATTAGCTAGTGTCCATGCGTGTTTGAAGACGCGATCAATTTGATATCTGAGGTGGAACTCGAACTAGGGCCTGTGGACCAACCCATATTCAGGCTTCTAGATGTGTTACAAGGGTACCACAGATCAGTATTCCATAACGATTCAATCGATTGCGCTCGCGTTCTAAGTACGCAGGTGGACGCGGTGAAGTGAACATGGGGTGTTTTCACTTGGCGGTGTGCGCGTCCGATAGAGACGCAGGATGTCTAAGGGCCCAGGATCCTTTGGCTGATTAGGTACTTGAGGGGGTACTACGGCCAGCCTTCATGCAGTGACGCGGTCTCCCACTTATTTTTTCTCGCCTTTGTGAGAAAATGTTGCCTTGCCACCTACGCACACGCACACACACACACACGCGTACTGACGAAGGTGGGATGGGATTGCGGTTCGCGATCAAAGGGAAATCCTCTTGTAGAGGGGGTGGGTGCAGGGATAGCTACATACAGGTGTGGGCAGCTGGCCGAAAAATTACGCTCATGCCTTTCTGCTCGAATGGCGTCACTTCACATAAGCCCTCATCTGCATTCACCGCGTAGCTGCGACTCGGGGAAGTACTTTACCTGGTGATTTCGCCAAACAAGCATCTGGCGCATTGTTTGATACGCTCCCCAAAGATTCTCTTTGTTGTTACAAAAAAAACCGGCTTTCCGACCACCTCAACGTAAAAAAATCAGGTCACCTGATGCCGCCTGACGCGTTTGATGAGGAAGAACCTCAGGAGTATTGATCGAGTTTGTCTAGGACTGCATTTTTTGTCGTGACAGCCCGATAATCGATAATGTACTTTACTGGCTTAGCCTGCATGTTGTTAAACCAGACTAACTCAGCATGCGATGTTTGTGCATTAGTAAGACCGCTTTTCGCGCGTAACCATCTGAAGGGAACAAAGGCGCCCCTTTTCAATCGTCGGGCCGACTAAATTTTTGTAGTTCGATTTACCCAAATTAAAAATGCTCACAATGTATCCTTTACCACATCCTTCAGCTGGCCAGTGAAGTTGTATATTGGATTTCCCAGAATCCTTGGGTCTCCTTTTGGTCACATATTATTTTGACTTAATGTCTTCAACTGGCAGCCAGTTTATGCTAGGAGTAGATTAGACAATTTTGGGCTAAAACCAGACGTAATAGAGACTTAACACCCAGAAAAATCAATCCTTAATCGGATTTGAAACCTGATTGGACTGTGAATGTGTTTGAAACAATTGCCGTAATATGCGCGTTTGAAGCTAACGACAAAATTAAATTGCGGACCCCAACCGTTTCTTGTGTCGTCCAGTCTGGCAACGTATAAGTTCATATGCAGTAGTGTCATATATGACTGACATTCAAATCATTGAACTAAAGTCACTGTGTGAGAAGCTAACAGGGTTCAAAAAATCGATTTCAGGAATCGATTGAATTCAACTTGGCCTGCTATCCTGAGCACATCTCACGTAGGCGGGCCGGTTGTCAGCAATACCAAGATGTTTTTTAGTTTCGGTTCATTCATGCGCTTAAAAATCAGGGTTTTGTGAATGTTCAACGCCAATTGCCTTATCAGACGCTTCAGTTGGCTAGGGTTTGTACATTGCCGCCGCAAATCACGCTGATTGGGTGCTTCAAAGTATCTGTATTTGTACGGAAATTGTGGTGGAGTGTAGTCAGCACAGCCGAAAGTACGCAGTGTATCACATGAAACAGTAACTATCACCACCACCTCAATCCTGATGAAGGGTGAAGCTGGGGTTTCAAAATAACGCACATGCCCTGTGTGACATTCTGCGGTAGCTATCGTGCCGCAACGTAACTGCTACTGCACCTTCTGGGTTTTTTCTCCCTCAACCCTTCAACAAAATCTGTTGAGATGGAGAGAACCGGGCTTTTTGTGCCTCCACGCATCCTCTTCCTCCTTGGGGACTGTCACAGTGGCGGTAAATTTCCTTCTGCAATTTTTGCCACACTGCTTTACTACTTTTTATACCTGCACGTTAACCGGGCGTTAATTACGCTTTCTGCGGCTACAAGGCCGACTGATGGTTTCATTCTGCTGGAAAATTTAGCCACACTGCGCCATCAGAGGTCCAATATCCCCTAGAAACTAGGTATTAAGGTGTGGATTGAGCCTCTCGAACTCTGATTTGGGCCTTAGTTGCCCCTGACTACCTGATGGAGTCATAGGATTGGGCACATAATAATCTTTTTAAATCCATCACAACTTGAACTAATTTCCTGTTATTATGACGTTAGACATTCTTCTATCCGTGCAAAGGGAATATCTTAGCGATCTAGCGTCGGCAGTGTTACTTTACTTTCGTGGGAAGATGATGTGTGATTGGTCAATGAATGAATGCTGTCGTCATTAATGGGACAAAAACGTCTACTGAATAAACAGCAGTCTGCTTCAGTAGTGTAACAAAACACCAGGCAATGTTCGGATGCGACTAGCTGTCAACCGCATTGCTTGCTACCCGCTACCCCAAGACTTCCATGAGTAAATGCACAAATTCGTATCTATTTGATCTGTTGAAAGGCTGGCAGTCCATTTCGTGTTTCAGTTTGCGTGAAGCCCCAAAATTTACCACCTCAGACAGATGACTGTCGAGCTGGCTAGTTGATTGCTTCGTGCGAGACATCATTTAGTCATCTGCCATATCAGATTCGTTTTCCGTGGTGTGTTTGTGCGCAGGAAAGGCGCGAGGCCTCTAATCACAAACGTAGCAATCCGAATGCCCTTAACGCTTCCCCCGTCTAGTCCCAATCAAGCAAGTCATCAAGAGATGTCGTCCTTTAATTATGACCACAAAACCACTCGTTTCTGCGGCTTTTGGATTCGGACAGGGTTGCAGCCTCCTACGACGTTTCGCAGGTTCCAATCGGGTTGGAGTGTGTGTGTGTGTGGACTTTGTTCGGTTCCATAAATACACTTCGCTCCGATCAAAAGAACTCCGTCGGTTCCGTGCCCACCACAAGGGAGACTTGCGATTCGTGCTGCAATTTCGGTTTAATGCTCACAAAGGAAGCGTCCAGCTTTCAATTAACCTCGGACCTGTAATTGTGTCGTTTATGGACGCAAAACGCTTCCACTCCCCTGCCTTTGACCCACCAACTACAACCGTCTCCCGATCACTAACGTAGAACTACGCATGAATGGCCTCTAATTGAATGCGGTATTAGCAAATTAATGAGAACCCCGGACGCGATTTTGCCGGAAAGGGTATAATTACTTGTGACTGACCACGCTTTTGTAGTAATAACGCAAATGCTCAAGTTTAAAAATTGTACTAATCTCACAAGTCGAGTGGTATTTTGCAAAATGATAATTTCCACAACTATCACGCCTAAACACATTGCAGGTGGATGTTGTGGCAGCAGTAGTCATCATTGACCGAAGTGATTACCACCAACTGAGATAGCATTTATTGGACGTCTTGTGGCAGAATTTAGCACATATTTTGTTAGACACAAATGTTGGTTTCACCTAGCTTCTGAATACACCTCTCTGTGTGCACAGCAGGGGGAAATTGGCGTGCTTTTAAAATCACAAGTTAATTTCGAGCCACCAAAGGAAGATCTTTTCCCGGTCTTTAACACCTCGAGGTGACAGCAGATACGACACCTACCTTTTTATATAAGAGTGCGTGAGTCAGTATCGACCGTCAACCGTAATCACCAATCGATGACATTCGATCAAGTCGTGAGGACAGTTCACTGCAGGGTTGATTTAAATTTAATATCTACTGCAATTGGCCAGGCTTCTGACTTCCCAATTTTCCTAGGAGTCAGTTCTGCCGATAATTCACTTGTGTGTGTGTGTGTGTGTGCGTGTGTTTCGCCACACAGGTGGCACGGATCACTCGGTCTGTGCGCGTTCGCGTGTCGCTCGGGGCAGCCGCATCCTAAGATAATTGTCTTCTCTCTATCTAATTGGCCCAAGTACCGGAAACTGGAACATCCAGCTGGGCGAATAAATCACGCGATGAGCCCTGGGCTCTCCTCCAGCACCCCGTGTGTGAGTCTCTGCGACGTCGACCCCTGTTTAAAATCCACACGCCTGCCTGCCTACCCCTCCCTCCCCCCCCTTACCTGGCCCACCCACGAGTTAGCTGGACACCTTCGTCACCGACGTCACAGAAACATGGCCAGAGGCTTGAGCAAGTCGCGTATCTGTCCACGAACTGCGTCAATCACGCCCCAAGGCGTTCCTGTCCGTACATTAAAAAACCAAATCTCCGAATGATTCTCACGGGAATTCTTTATTGATTGCATTATTTTCCTTAATAGGCGACTGACCGGAGCAGGGAGGTTGAAGAGAAGCCGAAAACTGCGAGACCTCCCGCTCACCGACCCGCCCGGCAGCAGTCTAGTCATGTGTCGCAAGAGCCACCAGCGAGAGATGCGGCATACCAGTCTACAAAGTCACCTAATAGAGAGAAAGAGCCTTCCAGACGTCAGCATAGTGTTCCTTCGCCCCCAACTTTCACAGAACCAAGTTTACGGTCCTCCGAATTCCCTGAGCCATGGCTGCCAAACCTCTCTCAAAATCTCCAAGCGCCAGACTTGGTGAACCCCTTCATGCTCCCCACAATCGCATCCAATCCTTACTGGCCTTTTGGCAATCTTTCAAAACTTGACCAGGTGACAGCAGCAGCCACCGCTATGCGTCAGTTGATGGCTCAGCAGCTGTCCAACCCAAATTGCTCAAGGAAGCCGATGGAGCATGAGCCAGGGTCTCGGACATCAACGTCTAGTTTCTCTGCCTCTCAGTTAGCTGCACCTACATTTGAACCGCTAACCCGTGTTCCTCAGACGTCGATGCCATCCATCCCTAACCCCAGTATTCCGACAGCTCCTCCGATCTCTTCTGCCTCGCTCACAGCTGCGCTCTCGGCATGGTATGGACAACGACCGAATCAACAGCCACCTGGGGTGTCACAGTTCCCCACTGAAAACACCACTGGTCATTGTATTTCCCCCCCGCCACCACCACCCCCTCCACCACCCCAAACCACCGCGCCAGTGCACAGTTCAAGTGTTATTAGATCTATGATCTCAGCAGCTATTGGTCATCAGAAAGAAGGCAACGAGGTGGCCAATCTCACTCAATTAGACGAAACTACCAACACGTCAACCGGATCATCCTCTTCACTAGCGGCAATGATGGCCGCCGCCGCTGTGGCAATGGCCGGGTTGTGTAGAACCCAGGCGGTTCAACCCATTCCAGGTGCTAACACCGACACGACGTCGTACCAACTGGAGCAATCGCATAACAATGACGAAGGCTTGAACCTCTCTACCATTGGGAGTGGTGAAGTTGGAGAGGACGGCTTCGTGGAAGACTTGGTCGAGGACCTAGATGACGAGGATGTCTTCCTCCGTCACGTGGACAAGAGCGGCTCGCGTCGACGACGAGGGAATCGGAAGCGCGATGTCGACGGTCGAGTTAACAAGACCGAACCCAACGGTTTTGACCAACGCGTCCACCACCGTGAAACAGAACGTAAGCCTTCTCTGCCTTGTTTGGTACTACCAAATTTCGACCGGGGTATGCGTATTTGTGTCGTACAAGAAGAGCCACACCTAGAGTCAACGATGCAGTCAACAGGTTTTCTCGCGTCGCGTCAGTGATGTAAACACGCCACACTGGCTTGACAGGTAGACAGACATGGCAGATCGGATGTGGGGTTATGGGTGGGGGGAACGTGAGACAGTCGATCTTAGCTTGCATCTCTATCACAGAGACAATGAACAGGTGCGCCTCTTGGCTTTGCCCACACCATCAAATTGGAGTCGACTGGGATAAACAGACAATCGATCCAAGTGGAAGAGAGTTGGCGTGTTCTGTGCTCTATCAATCAGACAAACCCTCTCTAGTGACACGTTTTGCTACAGGGGCAGTTACTGACGCAAACAAAATTTGTTTATCTCTTAAAATTAGGCGATAGAGGTAGTGCGGTCATACAACCAGGTTGAAAACTAGTCAACCTTCTCTTTACAAAAGGCGAATGTTTCTGGATGGGAATTTCGAGGGTCAGTAGATGAGCCACGATCTGCTAAAGATCGATGTGAAACCCTATACGAAAGATTGTCATCTTGTGGAATTGTATAATTTCAGGCCTGCATATCGCATTTTCTGTGTACTTTCCTGGACAATTAAGTTAGCTTTGATTGAATTTCGGCCTCCAGGTTTGATTTGGATTTATCCATCCAAGTCGATCTGTGTAACAGCTAACTTAAGTCTAATCATCAAATCTTTTCAACTTTGAACATATTTAGGGTATCCGATTGGAAAATAAACTATTCTCTTAATTCTTAAACGAAATACCAACACTTTGGACGTAGAAAACTTAGCCCAATAAACCAAGTTATCACCTATTGGAGTAAATTTAGACACGATTTACTGGACTGCAGCCGTATTCACACACGGACTTTCATATTTTTGAGGTTTTTCGAAATGGAAAGGGTTGGGTAACAAGAATTATTCATTAATGACTACTTTTTGAATTGGTAGTTGCGTTGTGCAGACATGGCCCATGGGGAAAAACTCGGTGTTCAGGTGGACTCTCAGCTACCTATGAAATTGGACGTAGTTAGAAGGGGCCATCTTAGCAGAAATGGCTGACATTTCGTGTGTCTCAGTGTTGTGGGCATCAAAATTGAGTCTCCAGACGTCTCCATGAGTCTCGTGTCTTTTGGTCCGTCTAACGGACATTGGAAACGCACGGGTCTATCACGCGATGCTCCACATGTAATAGATTCGATCCGTTAGATAAGCCTTTTGCAAGTTGGCCAGTTTCGGAGCCTGATTGACGGGTGGACAGGATATACGCGGGGGTTGGGAGTTGTGTGTGTGTGTGTGTGTCAATCAGGAGTGGACCAGCGAAACTGACACGGGCGTGACAACCCCACGAATGCAGTACGTCAGTCAAAACGGAGTTGAGAGTGTATGTGTGCGTGCCAGCCTAGGCGTGCTCAAAGTTGTTTGATAGACGGTTGCTACACCACTCAAGCGGGAGTTTCAGTTGTCCGTATACGAGGGCTGAAGAAGCCATCGCGTCGCACCATTTTTGGATTTGTTTAAAATTCCCCCTCTATGACCGAACTTCGAAACGGTCGTTTCAATTTGAGCATCATTGAAAGTAGCTGTATCACCAATTTGTGAAAAGGCAATAGCCCATTTCTTCGAATCTAACAATTCGACTCTTGTGGCAATTGTGTCAAATTTCTGGATAGGGGATGTCAGTTGTTCCCACTCACCCTAGTAAACAATTATCGCCTGATTTGGCCCGCAACTCACCTGAACTGTTACAGTACCCGGCTTGACCAGTGTTATCTCGAAAGGCAACATTCAAAGTCACAAAAAGTGCTCATAAGACGAAACAAGTGGTATCAGCTTAAGACTGAATTAATTTATAGCACACATTTGGAACACCGTTTAACAAGCTATTCTGTTCCATCTACAAATTTTCCGTGTTCACACCGTCGCAGTGCAGCAATCAATTTGGAATCCTCGTAGCCGATTATATTGACATGTTAGGAGAATCCTTCTAGAGAAATAAATGCGAACAACTCACTTTTGTGTTTGGGGCATGTCGACTCGACTTGAAAATCCACGTGTTCCAAAATCGGTGTACTGCTATTCGCTACTTATTTGCTGACCGAAGTGGCGATTTCGCGATGAAAGCTGTGCTGTTGGAGTATGTCACGTCAACGGTTGTTTTTATGTTCCTATGTCTTCATGAAGTGCGCGATGAACAGTGAGATCAGTTGTCGAATGTCGAGTCAATTCGGTACCAACCGCTAGTTCACATGACGTGGCAGTTTTGATGGCATTATGCAATTGCAGTCCTGTTCCACGCGTGAAGAGGACTCAGAGAAAAGTTTTCGGTGATTGCAGCCGCTTTGACAGTGCTGAAATATCTTTTGCAGGCATATTTTTCACTGACAGTTATCCAAAGGCGTCGTGAGACAAAATGACCTTTAAAAGTTTGTTTAAATTAATTTGTGTGCGGGTTCAATCTTCAAAAAAAAGAAGTAATAGGCTACATTTTCAAACGGACTCTGCGTTGGAACTGCTTCAAACGGCATTCAAGACACGCGTTCCGGATATTAGAACAGTCAGAAAAAGGATTTAGTTCTTTTCAAAATGGTGACCTTTAGCAATAAGCAGCTCCGCCACTGATAATGACGTTATCTATGAATCAGTGAAAGGCAAGTGATTGCAGAGAGAGATAACCGATTGAAAAATTTGCCATTTAAAACAGTTAAAATGTACTATGAAACTCGATATATGGGTTCTGCACAGTTTGACGAAACGGAACAACCTAAACGGTGTTTCCACAGCCCTTTCTCTCCACGCGCGTCAACAAAGCGAATAGTTTTTGAGATCAAGCAGCAACAGGAGATGTAAAGTGGTTCGTGTTTCACGCAATAACAAGACGGATTCGAACAGAATCAATGACGCAGGCTAAAAATTGCTGCATCCAATGAGAGTGCCGACGTGTGTCTGGTTGTGTGATTGCAGAGGAGTAATCTTGTTTACAAATTCCTTCCACGTGGCCCAGCAGTAACTGCGGAGAAGCGCTGTGAACGCCTCACTCAACTGAATGTTGAAATCCAAGCAAAACATCCAAATTTTGCCGATCAAAAAGTCGTCAGCTTTCATGAGGACAACGCTGAAGCACATGTCACTCAACAGACACTGGACGCAGACACTCCGTCAGATTATTATCAGTTCCATTATCGGAAAAATGATGTGGATGCCGATTAAATATTCTACATAGTGTATCTAAAAGCACCTTTCGACTTTCAATAACGAGAAACCACGCATATTTTACAAAGAAAGTATTCAAGAGCTTATAATATGTTGGAAGACGGTTACGAGAAACGGTGCAGCGATCAGTATTGATTTATAAATCATAATATTTACGAAAATCCGTTGGTTTTGCAGTCACTCGGTATTTTAAGCAAGGAACGGAGAGACATGGCTGCACTTTTGTGATGCTGCAAATCATTGCAGTGGCTTGTGTGCAGGCAAACAAATTTGGTAAGTGACAGACCAGGAAACCGTTGAAAGAGGCTGAACCAATCAGTAAACAGCACGCTGCCGTGACCTGTGTTGAGCGACCTGACGAGAACACAGAAATGGAGCAATGCTGAACCTGACAAGGACAACATCAACTCTGAGCCGAGGCGGTGTGAAATTTTTGCGCGGAAGCTAAACGGACGCTCAGGTCAGCTATGCATACTTCTCTCAGTGCATTCCAATGACGCGTTAATGTAAATAGGCACTTGTGGTTACTGCAGAATAGGCTCAAGAATTACTAAGTGAGTACGTGGATGTCCATTCAGTGGATAATACAATCCTTCCCGTTTCTTATCCAGGTTACATGGGGATATTTTACAAAATGAAGGACACAGATTACTTTTGAATCTGGCACGTTTTTATTGGCTGGTTTTTGCGAACCGGATTCCTTTGTGCCCTTGTTAGACCGCTAGGGGAATGACTCAGACTCTGACACACAGAGAGTAAGGATCTGGTTTGAGCACCCCAGGCGAATGCGGTCAGCTGGAGAGAACATTCTGCGAGGTCATCGTAACGGCTTCACCAAGTGTTGAATCCTCACAAAACCCAACACAGTGCCTAGGTTTCCTCTGAGGTCGTTTTGAACATTTACGGCGATCAAAATGTGAGTTAGGATGTATCCAGTGTGTGTCTAGACGACTTCCTTAGAGACCCCTGTCGAAGGTCTTCGTCTAGGGCTTGCAATTTCTTAACCCACGTTGTAAACATAGTTGAATCGAGTACTGAAGGCCTGGATGTTGCAGGATTTGAGTGTTTTCCTACTCACGCGGACTTATGCGAGGGCGTGTCCTCAATTTCGCCGATGTTTCTTGAGAATGCCCTGGAATAATGGAAATGCATGAGTGACAGTGCTGGTACAGGTGGAGTGGACAGTTGCCGTTATGGATGAGATGCTTTCCGTGACACCACAATATGGTTTTATTGGAAACGCACAGCGGTGAATCATATAGCGATACCGGGGACAAGCATTGTCCGTAATTGTTTTGCCGTACACACGTGTTTCTAATGTTGTTGTATTTGGAGATTGGAAACAGGCAATGTAGCGATAGATGTTCCATTTGTGTGACATTGCTGTTAATTGTTTGTTTACCTCCATCCAGGCATTGAGTAAAATGACCTTATCCGTGACTGAGGGGGTCGTTTTCAAAGGGCTCTATCCTATTAGATAATGTTTACAGATTCTTTTCTACAGGCCTAAAATTATATTTAAAATAGAAATATTTTCGCGGTTAATTGGGGTTTTGATTGGATCTGACACAAGGTTTCAGGACACCGAACGACAAGTCTGCGTGAGTTGCATAACCTCTCGCAATAACAGAGTTTGCAATGGCTTCTGAGGCACAGGAATCAATTTGAAGTGTTCTTGGTTCTACGTCAAGTCGTATTTAAGCATGCGGTCATTGGTATAAATGCTTTAAAAGTAGTGACTATGACCTTAGTGAAAGGTCGTGCCCCGAACAGCATCAAATCACAGGCTCTACTAAATGAAGAATCAACGCAAACAATTGGAGCTTGCAGCTCAGTTATGGTTCACCCAAAAAGC